CGCCTTGACATTTTCAAATTTTCCTCAAAATGGCTCCAAATGTTTTGATTACACTTTGTCCTCGGATAGCATAAATAACGCATAAAAAAGACAATGGTCTCATTTTAGTAAAAATCTCTTTTTCGAAGATTGCATAAGTTCAACATTTTTTCGGTGTCTTCCTGAGCTACAATATTGAAGATCAAGAGTGTTTTCTTAATAAAATCTGTTTCTCAAAGACAGACCTTAAAATAAGAACATACACAATTTTGCGAAAATGTGTACTTTTGTATAAGTTGCGTGAAATATAGGCAGTTTTTAAATAATAATTTTCTCAAAACGGCTCAATATTTGTTTTCTGTAATTTTCTTTTTATTTTGTAGAAAAGGATATTAAAAAATGGTACTGGCAGCGTTTTCTGCGAACTCTCTGTATTTTCGAAAATTGCAGTAAATTAACGTTACAAAAGTACAATATTAATGGCAGAGTTATTTAAAATAAAATGTTCTGAAAAAATTAGATTACTTTAAGTAAAGTCATGAACAATGTTTTGTAAAAAAGTAGTTTCCGAGGACATTCTCGTTGGAGTTTATGAAATTTATAAAAAATCTGTTCTTTAAAATTTGTTCCTAGGACACAGTATAGGATATTTACAAAATTGCGCTGGCCTCAACTTTCTGGATATTGGAAAGAAAGGTTGGAGATAATGCGAGAAAGAAGCCGCGGTTGTAGGTCCACTAGTTTCCCAAAATATCGTGCTTTATTGACATTTACATTACATTTAAATGTTACAAAAGAGTCATAATAAATTTTCTCGAAATTTAACGAATTTTTATGTGCGAAGCAAAATGGAAAAATTTTTAAAACGTTCAACGTACATTAAAAAACTCATTTTTTCAACACAAATTTTTTTTTAAATAGTTTGGATAGAAAATAGATTTTGCTCCTATACGATATTCCGATGTCGCTGGTTAGATTTAACTAATGAAGGTCCAAAAACTTGAGAAAACACGACTGTATGTTGGTGTTTTTGATAAAACAATTTATATACAATCCCAATAACTAATACAATATATTAACAGAAAGATACCCTACAATTTGTGTTCTAAAGTATTTTGAGTATATATTGGGAAATTTTAAGAATAATATGTATTTATGAGTGTGAGAGCTGAAGTACTCGAAAACGCGTTTGTCTATTGCAACCATGGCAACAAATTCGGTTGAGCAATATTAAGATGTATATATTTAGAGTTTTTAAACTGAGAGTTGTCCATAAAGGTAGCACAAAAGGTCATCATTTCCATTCAAATTGTGTCTTGGACGTTAAAAAATGGATTGGATTGTCCTGTGCCAGCTGATGGTGTCAAGAATTTTGCAAGAGGTGCTAAAATATAACATTTTTTTCGAAAACGGTTTTAAATTTTTAGTCCTTTCCAAATGCAGAAAAGGGTTGTGGACGTTCTATGTAATTCCTATTGTCTCATTTGGATTTACCAGTAGCCTGCGACCAAAAACTGTAGGATTTATTGATTAATTCCGATGTTTCTTGCGGTGCTGAAACCGACTACAATCATGGACAAGCTTTTTTTCTTTTTTCAAATCAGTGTTTTCACTAAAGTGTCAAATTACTATAGATGGTATTGGTTTCCGACTAAAACAATTGTTCCTTTATAGCCAAATTGCCCAAATTGCCAAATTGAGGCAACTAGGTGTGCGTCCTCGGCGTCTTAAAAGTTATTTATAAAATTATTTATTTCTTGAAAATTTTTATTGTGGAAGATTATTTATTTTTACACACTGATCATGCATTTCAACATGATTTCTGCAGTAATCACAAAAAAAAACAATTTCATTTTGGAAGACTTTACAATATACATTTTTGCTCATAACCGAGTTCAATTAGCAGCTACTGATTTGAAAAAAATACGTGATTCAAAAAATTGTTTCGAGATTTGGTTTCAGTACACTAAAAAAATATACGAATTACTTGAAACACTGAAGGCATTTTTCAAAACATTTTTTTGCAGTCCTATGTAATCTAAAATTAAGAAAATGGCGAAAGGTGAGTGCTTTTTAAAATATAATATGTAAAACATCAATATGACAAAAAGAAAACAATTTTATTGAAAGTGTTTTGTAAATATTGTGTATGGATGTATTGTGCATTTTTAGGTCGGACTAACTCGACTTTTGACAGCTAGCGGTGGTAACAGGCCCGGGACCGGCTGTTAGTTCTTTTGCACGCCTAGGGGTAAGGGAGACATGTGGCGAGCTCAACGTACTCCATATGTGTAAAGAAACTGAGACGACTTGCATTAGATATGAAGATAGAGCTTCATATTTGACCCAGCCTGGAATAGACTGCGGGACCGCCTCCCAGAAAGATAGCACGCTATTCACCTGTGGGGCTTTGTAAATGTTGTTTTACATTTTTTGTGTATACACCAAAAAATATTGTGAATTTTAAGGAAATTATTTTATGTGTGCGGAAGCTAATGAATTAATAGCGGAAAACTTCTTAGACTTTGGTTACGATGGCGCATTTTGATGAAACTAGTTCACTCAAACTCATAAAAGATCGAAGTTGATAAATTGGTGGTTGATGATCTATGGATTGATGAAATATCAATTAAATTATGGGAGGTGTTAAAAATCAATGTAATGTTGTGTCATTCAAACAGTTGATGAAGTGACTTTTGCAAGATATGACTGAAATAATAGTAGAGAACTGGTTACCAATTTAATTTTATTTAAAAATCTTAAAAATAATACGGCAAAGTCTGTGCTATGTAGTTGCAACGAGTAATAGTTGAAGTTATTTATCATGCGAAGTTTAACCATTTTATCCCTTTCAAATCCAAAAATGTCACGATAGTTTCACGCGGGAAACACAGAGAGGAGAATTATCTCCGCCTCCCAACTGATTTAGCTCCCGATTACACCTTGTCACAAACAAGAGCAACGCTTATCATTTCGTGAGACTATCGTTCTCTAACTCACACTCGTTCAAGGTGAAATATATTAACTTCCGGCGGCAAAACTAACAGTGCAGGACACTTTCTCAAACATTAAGGGTCTATTGTACCTATCACCTTCATAAAACCTCATGTACTAATATTTTAACCACAATGAGGATATCATAAATAATGTAAAACCATAACGAAAACATCATGTATCCATTCAGAAACACAACGTACGTATTCAAATATACACAAGTTAGTTGTGGGAATCAAAGTGATGAATGAAATTTTGGAAAAAACAACATCGCAATCGAGTAAAATCGCTATTAGTTGACCAACTAGAGAGCTTTTTGTGTGATCTAAATATACATTAAGTTCCCCTCCCTTTATTTGTAAATGGGCATCATTCATTTCTAAGCCTTTTACAATTTACATGCGATAAATAACTCCGTCCCAATTATTCTGAAATCGTTTGAAAGATGAAGATGTATTATTATTATTATTATTATTATTATTATTATTATTATTATTATTACTGTTGTTATTTCAAGTAAGTCCATTCAAAGAAATACATCTTGCTCCGGGCCTGTTGTGCGAAAGGCTGTAAAGTTTCAAATTCACATCTTCTCCAACACCTGACCTAGACTTTCTAGTATTCTTTGAAAAATTCTGCATGTGTCCAGAATTACGGACAGGTATATACAGATGTCACGTTTGCAATTTAAGGTGAATATGGTTTCCTATGAGTTGGATATTTCTTCTGTGTATCGATTTGTTGGTCGTTCAGTATTGAACACAGCCCAATAGATGCCATTGGTTTGGGAGTGTGTTCGTACCACTTGGGGCGTGTGTTTACATAATTCAGGGCGTCACAGATCAGAGGACAATGGAAGTAATCCAGAAAAAGTGGCAAATCTCTTCAACCGACACTTTTCAGGAATTGCAGCTGAACCCACGAAGGGACTAAAACCACAAAATTCAACATCAATCACTTCCCAAAAGATTTTCGACAGTATTTTTATTTCCGAAACTTCTTCTAACGAAATTCTGAAAATAGTCAGTAAACTAAAAAATAAATATTCATCTGCTTTAGATGAATTTCCGGATTGTTTATTGAAAACTTGTGTACCTGCCTTTTTATACACCCGTTAACTCACATTTTTAATGCTTCTTTATGCACAGGAATATTTCCAGATATTTTCCAAAGAGCAAAAATTAAGCTACTTGAAAAAAGAGAACAAAAATAAAATTCAAAATTACCGGCCAATTTCTATTTTGTCAGTTTTTTTCAAAAATATTACAGAGGCTTTTCTATTAGCAATTGGAAACTTTTCACAGGAAAAACGAAGCGTTTTCAGACTCACAACACAGTATTAAAGAACCAAAACATACGGAAACTGTAATTATTCTTCTCTTAAAGATGTGGACCAAATGCACCATTGGACCAAAATGCACCCATTGAAATCTTAGGTCCTATCCTCTTTCTGTTATACTTAAACCATATGCCATCGTCTATTAAAAACGAAAGGAGAGTATTGTTTGGCGACACGATTGCTTTTGCAAAAAATAAATAGTACGATTTCAGAAGTTTCAAATTGCTTTTTAATAACAAATTAACAATTAACGAAGGAAAAAAGATTCAATGCAGTTTTGAGTTTCTAATCAATAACCGCACGCTCCATTGAAAATGAATATGCAATTAGCTGATGTTAAGGTAACAAAATTTCTAGGTCTCTCAATTCAGTCAAACCTCAAATTGACAAACTTAAGAAACCGTGTACATATTGCACTTCTCCCCATACTACTAGGGGTGCGACATCGATTACACAATATATCGATGTTTCTAAACATCAATGCTCAAAGTTAAAACATCGACTCGAAGCCATCGATGTTATTGAAAATCGATATTTTTCTCTTCGGCAATTGTCCCGAACACTCTGTCTGGATATCCCGCGGATCCGCAGTCTCGCCCGCCGGGGCCACCCCCGCACGACCATTCATACAATGGTCAGCCTGTAGCACGAAGCAGGTTGAAAGCGAAGTGCGTGGGCGGGCACGTACCTGCGTCCTTGCGCGCCTTCTTGTCGGCGTCGTCGCGCCGCCGCTGCAGCTTCCCCGTCCAGCGGCGGTCTGCCTGGGCGGCGCCGGTGGTGGCGGGCGCGGGGGCGGGGGCGGGGCGGGTGGCGCCTTGGGAGAGCGCCGCCTCTCACCGCCTCCCACGCTGCGCTTTCCGGTCGGCGCGCCCCCTCCTTGCTCAGCGCTGCTTCAGTTCGCGCCGCGCGCGGGCGCCGCGGGCGGCGGGGGGCCGGCCGCGCGGCGGCGGCGGCGGGGCGCGGCGAGGCGCGGGGCGGAAGGCGGCTGCCGCCGCCGTCGCGCGGCGGAGAAGAACTTGAAGCTCCGTGTGACCAGAAGAGGTCGGAGGCGGAGTCGTCGGCCGCGCCGGCCAGCACGTCGCCCGCGTCGCTGCCCCCCGACGCCGGGGACAGCTGCGGCCGCTGCGAGGGCGAAGCGCCCGGCCACACCGCCAGCGCCGCCGCCGCCCCTGCACACACGCACGCACACGCTCACGCCACGCTCCTTGGCCCCTTGGCCCGCAGCCGCGCCCTAACTCGCCATCCAGCGGGGGAAACCACCTTCCGAGGAAAAATGCACTGCACTTACGGTACTAATGACCTTGGCAGTTGACGCGCCCGGAGTCACTAACAATCAATCAAGCAGACGCGCTCTATCTTCCGGACTGCTCTCCAGACATGTGTGGCAAGTGAATGTGAGTGTACAAGCGGGGACGAGGGGTCAAGAAAACCGGCTTAGGTGTCTCAGGGCATCAACTCATGTCACTGCAGGGTCTCTGACTGTTCTAGGATTCCACTCCAGCTACAATCAGCTGCTGTCTGGAAGAGAATTCTAGAGGCCGGCTGCTCTGATCGGCATTTTCCAGTGGTTTCTGTGATCAACACCTGGCGAATGCCCGAGAAGCACCCAACAAACCCGCCAAGGACGGCGCGCGATCTTTCCTGCCTTTTCCTTGTCCTATCCTCCCCCCTTATATACACTTATACGAGCATGCACTACACTTCCACACGTGCCGGGAGACCGATCGGGAGCTTAGCGCTTGTGTTGGCTGAGGATGGTCGGAGATACCTAGTTGGGGAGAACCCCACCACCCGACCTGGTCGGCGTCGGATGTTATCATCTAGTGGGGAAGACCTCCGCCGCCTACCAAGGCGAAAAACCTGCAGTGCACTGATGGGTCTAATCACGTGATGTCTTGACGCGCCCAGAAATACGAAATAATCAACGAGTTAGGAAAGTCCGCGCGCAATGCTTGTTCCGACACCCGCCTGCCATCGATTGCAGAAACCACGGAAAACTCCCCAGCAGAGAATCCTTCTCCTGACAGCGTCTGAAAGCCACGTAGCTATGCACCTTGTCTCGAAAATCATCTCTATTCGAACCCTCGGCCTCTCAGTCTTGGACGCGGTCACTGCTTGTCTCCTGAGCCATGTCCGCCCACCTTTGGGGCCGAAGGGATTATATGAGATAGGTCAGTCCTAGCGTATTATTGACTTCATCGGTGCACAAATTAGATTGACAAACTGATAGATTAGAACAGGATTAGTACTTGATTGATTTGTGCGGGGCAAACTCAAAGTTCCCACCTGATCTTTCGACATGTGTGGTAGTGTACTGCATGTAAGTGTAAGTGTAAGTGTGTATGAGGATAGGAAGAGGAAGGGAAGCTGACGTCGAAACTCCCGCCCTCGAACACTGGGACCATCCAGCAGTGAAATCACTTGATGTCCTGAGTCAACTCCGCCGGCACAAAATTGGAAAGGCCGATGGGGAAATCCTGTATTCCCTTTCCTGATGTCTAATCGTACAACGTAGTTGGAACAAAACAAAAGGGATATACCGGTACGGATCGGGTTGAGCCAGGAAGAATTGGAAAAAGGTGAAATTCTGTAGAAGGGTGACTAATCAGGAATCAACAGATGCGTGTCGTGCAAAGGGCGGCGCATGCGAGCACATGCGAGCGCATGCGAGGGCCTGATGAACGCCTGGCGTGGGTTCCCGGAGGCGTTCGGATCGCGTACGTCATCTTGATCGCTTAACCGGGGGAAGTGGCTCAGTGCATCAACTGATGTCACTGCAGGTGCCCCTGAGCGGGAGGTCATAGGGTCACACTCCCGATGGTGGCAGGATTGTCGACTCTAGGTTGTCAGCTAGATCGATTACAGTCACTGTCTGAAGGACAATTTTAGCGGCCGACTGCTCTGGTCGGTAGTTTTCCGTGGTTTCTCCGATCAACACCACCAGGCGAATGCCGGAGCAGTACACTAACAAACGGGCAACGGACCGAGTGCAATCTTTCCTTCCTATTTGTTGTCGTATCTTCACACCTTACACTTACTACACTACCAAACATGCCAGACCTTGTCCCGCTAGTGGGATATATCCGGATAGGGGAAACCCCGCTAGCCGACGGTAGGTCGGTGCCGGATTTCGCCACCCAGCATCCGCCCAGGGAAGATCTCCGCCACTTACAGAGTAAAAAATGCACTACACTTACGGGACCAATGACCTCAGTAGTTGACGCACGCGGAATCAATCAATGAATCCACCTTGATCGCCTGACTCGAGTCTGCAAGCACTGAGAACTCCCTCCCTCAAGCACAGTCTCTGCGAATCTAGCCCCTTAGTTACGTTGAATTGAGTTACTATCTTGATAAGTCTACCGACCGCCTGTTCCCATCGGTAGCTTTCCGTAGTATCTCCCATCAACAGAAAGTCAGTGTCGCAGCAATCGCCCAGCAAACGGAATAGGAATTACGCGCGATATTTCATAGTTCATTGATTGATCACCGTACGGGCTGCATTCCGCTAAAACAAAACAAAATCACTTTATGAGTTTTTCTCTACTCTAGTTCATTCCAATCAACAGACAAATAATATTCAGTGAAGAGTAAGAACCATCGGTATGAGTACAGCAAAATAGGCTATGAAAACTTACACTGTCTAATCAAAGCGAAGGTAAGTACTAGTTTAGCGCTAAATTAGTGCCGCTACAACAGCACTAGTTTAGCGCTAAACTAGTGCCGTTACAACAGCACATACTTTAATAATAATAATAATAATAATAATAATAATAATAATAATAATATTTTATTTGGCTACAATTGGCTGATTTAGCAGGTGGTAGCCACAACCTACAGTTTTACAATATATGAACATTTATAATACAAAAAACAATTACATATAAAAAACAATTTTACACTACACTTCTTTGGCATTACACTCATATATAAACATACAACAACGGTATTACATCTATGCACATATATACACCCATACACACACACATATATACATACACATGCATCATACATACATACACACACATTCCTATACATGAATGCTCACTCTCACGTTCACCACACATAACACGCAACACACACACACACACACACTGCCCTAACTAATTCTACATGCCTACATTTAAATGAAGAACATATATTTAGTTATACCTAGTAAACATGCACATTAATACATATACATTAAATAACCAGTTACACAATTTGTTTTTTAATAAAAAACACAATGTGGATTTTATAAGTTAGCTCTTTAAATACATGTAGTTTGCTCCCCACCTACTGTCGCACTTCCTTCACTCTACAACTTCACTTACATACATAAATCACTAACACGACACTCCACTCACTACGTGCTTCACTACATCTTTCTTATGGTTATGCCATTAATAACTAATTAAAGTAGCTTTCCACTGCATGACTAAGAACTACACTACACTATTATCTATAATAATCTACACAATTGTGTATTCTGAGCTCGTGCGGTAAATTACACCCTACGAGTACTTATTAAGTCGTCTTCTAAAAACACCAACAGAACCAGGAAAAGGCTCTACGACCGCTGCAGGATTTCATTCCAATTTTTAACCGTACGATTTACAAATGATATTTCCTTACGTCGGAATCTCTGACATCTTACTTTTTATTTGCATTTGTGTCGTTTCTCCCCAACTCTCGAGAGAGTCTAGTCTTTTCGTTACTTTCTGCCCATGCAGTGACTTACTGTACGCCTTGAAGAGCAGCAACAATCTGGCTTTTTTTCTTCGCACACTGAGGCCTCTAAGATTTTTGTGGATTTGAACTACTCGAGATCCCTTTATTTATGAATTTGATTGCCTTCTTTTGAATTTTTTCAACTCTTCAATCTGACCTAATCTGTATGGATCCCATCCAGCTGAGCGTATTCAGAATCGCCTAACTAAAGATGTGCTATCCTAATCTTTTCGACTCTCCATGTTCCCTTTTTAGTTTCTCATTACAAAAGTGTAGTGATTCCACGCTTTTCGGGCAATAGAAGTAACGTGTTCCCCCCATCCCAAGTCTTGGCGTAATATGACACCCAGATACTTACAACACGGATACTGTGTAATGAATACGCCTCCCATTTGGTATTCTAAAAGAAACCTTTCTTTGCTGATTTCGAAAAGCTTAGTATTTACTTTTACAGCATTATCTTTCATTTTATTAATGTAGCCCAGGAATAAATGTTTTAAGATTGGTTGAAGTGTAGAATATCTTCACCGAATCTATTCGCCGATAAGATTATGCAGTCGTCCGGAAATAGCGCATGCCTGAACTTAATACAGATGGCAGATCCGTTGATGAATGCCAGAACAAACAAGCGGTCCTTAAGACACTTACCCTGAGGGGGACCGGCCGATCTATTAGGGTTTCCTCTGAATGTTTCAGTGCAATCTCGAACTTGTTGAACACCATTATCAAGGAATTCCCGTGTATCCATGCTATTGCGCGATTATCAACTCCCGTAATTATTTTGTAAGTAGTATACTCGTGTGACAAGATCCGAATGCTTTTGGAAAAATCTATAACATGCGTCTGTTCTCTTACCCGTATCTATAAGTTCAGCAATATCTTGACACGTTGTAAATAATTGTTTCACAGAGAAAAGGATTCTTCGAAATCCATGTTGCCCTTCGTATAACCACCCTAGTTTGTCCTATTCCCGACGGAAGATCAGTTACCAGATTTCTTTGTTTGAAATCACTGACGTTAGGCTACCTGGTCTGTAATGGAAATGCAGAACGACATTTCCGTTGTAAATTATTGAACCATTATAGCCCTTTTCCATCGTTAGCACGCTACAATTATTTATGCTTTATTTCAAAATTAAATCGTGTCAAGTATGTAATACATCGTTCCCCTTCAATTTGTAATAATTCTCCAGCAACGTCAAAACCCAAAACGGTTTATTACTTCCTATATTTGCGAATTCTTTGATCTAAATGAGTCGGGTTGTCACTTGAAATTTTTCTCCTCATTTGTTCCGAAAGTACTGGAGTATCGATCCATAACGAAATACTGATTGGAATATGCCACTAAAATGATCGGCTTTTTCTTATTTGTTAGTACAAATTTCCCGTTTTCGTCTTTAAGTGCGGATAGATTCTTTGTTACCCTTTTTTGTTTTATGTATATTATAATTTCCCAACTAGATTCGCTCGTTTGATAGAATTTTACGGAGATAATTTTTTGCGCTATACGTTTTTGCTGCATTATCATTTGGTTACTGGACTTTGAATGAGAGCCCGCAGTGAAAAGACTTTTCCTTACGATTAGCGTACGCTTTTCTTGACTTTCTTTTTAGTTTTCTGATATTAGCCGTGAATACGCTGGGATCACTATTTTCTTTTAACTATCTTAGTTGGCACAAACAACTCTCTGCCTATAAACATTATTTGTTTAAATGAGTTCCATATTTCTTCTACGTTTCTACCATGTGATTCCCAAACGCCGTAGTTCCCTAAAAGTATTCCTGAAAACTTTTTGTGTCAGCACGACTGTACTGAAATAATAGTTTTCGTGTGTTTTTCGAGTACCTGGTTCCTGCCACGCCACCTGCAAAAGCACGCCCTCTGTTCACTTATACCTGTGTTGTTCTTGAGCTATCAACATCTGCTCTGGGCGAAATAAAAATACGTCAAGCACCCGCGCTAGCTCTTGTAAGACATCAACTACCTGAGTTAATCCGTTGTCCCAAACGAGTTCGTTAACAGGATTGTCCATTGCTTTTGATTCTTACCACACCTTTGCCACGATATATCCGGTAAATTTAGATCTCCACCAATTATGAGATTTCCTGAAAGTAACCCGGATTTTTACTTATTTCTACTAATTTATGTACTGCTGACAAGTTCTCGTAGGAGCACGATATACCGCAACTATATTTAAATTACATTGTTCCCCATTCCCAGTAACTGAACACCTAATATCTATGTACATCATCTGTCATTATTTCAAAACTCGTTAATGTTGTTCCTAACGCAAATGAAAATGCCCCCTCCTATTTTTATTTTACGATCCCGTCTGTATGTAATGAAACTCGGACTAAATATTTCTGCGTTGTTTATCTCCTCTTGACCAAGACTCTGTACCTATTATTACATCAGCCTATGTGTGTCAATTAACTCGTTCAAATTCAACTATTTTCGAGCGGATACTCCTACAATCACCTGCAGCAAGTCGCAGAATACCCTCACCTGTACTGTCGACGTCCCGCACAGCCATCTCATCCCGCGCTGCCGTCTCGTCCCGCGCCGCAAGTCTCGTCGCGCCGCAGTCTACGTCCCGCTCAGTCTAGTCCTGCGTCCCCGCTGCAGTCTGCCGCCCGCACGTTTGGTCCCGCGCCCCCGTCTCGTCCCGGCCCCCGTCTCGTCCCGCGCCCCTGTCTCGTCCCGCGCCCCCGTCTGGTCCCGCGCCCCCGTCTCGTCCCGCGCCCCCGTCTCGTCCCGCGCCCCCGTCTCGTAATACTTTCTCGCATTATTTATTTGTTTGCAAATCTTCGAAAATTCAGAGGGTTCAACAAAATGGGATCTAAGCCATTATCTTAAGCGTTCCTTGTTTCATTCGTGGACAAAAAAATAATGGAAAAAATGGGGCTGTTTTCAGAAAACGTTATTTTAATAATTTGCATTAATTTCTAGCACAAATTATACAAAAAGCACTAGTTAAAAAATATATATACGACCTTTTTAAAGATCTGAGTATTTAGAACAGATTTTATTTAAGGCAAAAATACCTATCTTTAATTTTCTAGTTTTGATATGTTAACTTTCTTCAATTTTCGAAAATACAGAGAGTACACTGGAAATAAGACAAGTACAATTTTTACTGTCTTTTGAAACATACATGGGGAGATTAAATACAAAATTTGCAGCAGTTTTGGAGAAAAAATTGTCTGAGAAAAACTTCAAATTATAATTGATGGTACATGTAAAGTACCCTTAGAAATAAAAATATCAGTTTAAAACTCAAAGGGACTTGAGTTCATTTAAATCGAACGGAATTTTTGGAGAAAATCGGCAGAACCATTTAGGTGTTACCATTAACAGCAAACTGTTAGACAGACCGTCGAACGAAGAGACGGATGGACAACCGTTTTGCCGACAATCGATTTTTCGGCATCAAGGATCCACAAATCATGGAGTCTTTCTACATAGCTTCTTGAAGAAGTAATTTACAATACATAAAAACAAGATTTATTCACTTTTTCGTTTACAAGAAATTCGCGATTTCTGATCACGATTACAATACTTCCTCATCTAATCTAGGAAAGGCTAGAAAGTAAAAATAAATTTGATTGGAGGTGAATGATTCAAAAGAGTTTCAAGCGCTTAGAGATGGTGCAGAACAAGAGCCAAGAGAATAGTTGGGATGGAGCCAAAAGACGTTGGCATCGACAACTACTTTCGCAGACGTAACACAGGAGAAACTGAATATTTAAAGGGAAACAAAGGTAGCATAGCTTGGTAATTCTCGTGAATATCTCTAAATTCAAGAAAATTCACACTATTTTCTGCTGTTGCATTTTCAAGCGTATAATATGCGACACCTTTTCCATTATTCTACTTTGAAGAAATTATTATTTCGTGCTTCTGGGCACGTCAACTGCTGTGGTCAATTGTAGTGCATTGTTTTATCGCGAGATATGGCGGCGAACGTCCCCACAGGTGTATAAAACCCTGAGCAGACCTTCACCAGCGCTCGCGAGGTTTTCCGCTACCAGGTATCTCCCCCAGCAGGGCACCACTCCAGCCGAGACAAAAAATGAGCTCCAGGCTGGACGTGCGCCGTATTTGGTAGTTTCAGGTCTGTAAGTGTAAGTAAGAGGTAAATATACGACAAGGAAAATGACGGAAAGACCGCTCTCGTCCCGTGGTCCTATTGTTACGGTATTGCTCCGGCATTTGCATGTTAATCGGTGAAACAACAGAAAACTTTCGATTGAAGTAGCCGGCCGCTGAAATTCAGATAACGGTTGAATTCGATCTAGATATGTAGATGGTGTAGAAAATCCTGTCATCGTTGGGATTTGAATCCTAGTCTTTCCTGGTCATTGGCACTGCAGTAACATCAATTGATGCCCTGAACTACTTAAGTTGTTACGTTCAAGTATTAATTTATGTATCAAACAGACGAAAGAAGAGGAAATTTGGGTATTAACAACAGAGCCACCGAAAATGTGCTGATAGAATGTGGTGTGTCATTAGTGAAGATGCATATTGAACATCACGAAGAAATGAAGTTCATCATAACTTTTGTAACAAATAAAAATATAGGGAAAAGGATGAAAAATTAGATTCCAATATCTAAAATGGACATTGAAATTTTTCCGTTATTACATTTTTTGCAGAGATTATCACCTAATGTGTGAGACGCGTGTGTAACACATGTGGGGTCTCCGTAGAAGCACTTTACTGAACGGTAGGTAGTTGGTTTTGCCGAGATTGAAGAGTGCACGTACCTGGGTTTCTGAGAGGTCTACGTGAGGGGACCTGGGCGAGCAGGAGGTCGGTACGCATTGGGTGGGTCGTGTGCACATCTGGGTGCAAGGGGCGCCTTACGTGAGGACATTTGGGTGAATGGGAGGTCCATGCACCGTGGGTAGGGCGAGTCTGTATCTGGGTGACTACGTGAGGAGCCCTGGGTGAACGGGGAAGTTGGTTCGCCGTGGGTGGAGCATGTGCTACACTGAGTTCCAGATATGTCTACGAGAGAGCACTTAGATGAATGGGAAGATGTCGGTACGCCGTGGGTGGGTCGGGTGCATACCTGGGTGCCAGATGCGCCTACGTGAGTCCCCCTAGGTGAACGGGCGTGGTGTGGCGTGTGCGCGCCTGGGAGTCAGATGTGTCTACGTACCTGTGTGGCCGGGGTGGGCGGCGCCGTCAGGGTGGGCGGCGGCCGCCGCCGCGGCGGTGCCCAGGAGCGCCAACATGCTGCTCTGCACTTGCTGCGCCTGGTGCTGCGCGTGCAGCTGCAGGTGCTGCGCGAGGGGCAGCGACGTTCCCTGCCACACAGACACACAAAGGGCAGATGCACTTCAACTGTTTTAGTAAAGACGATTCTTCGGTACCCCACAGTGGCGTAGCGTGAGTGTCAGCCTCCTGGGGCGGAGGAACATTTCGCCCCCCCCCTATTTAGGTACATCAACTTAAGACTAAAATACACAGTAACTCTATAGCTTTTCGGCAAGTACAATCATTATTGTGTGTTGTATAGGTTACAAATAAAAAATGTTTTACAATATCACGCCGATCATAAGGTCGAGCTAAGGCCGTAGCGGGCTCGGACAGAAGATCGTGGGTTCGAGTCCCGCCTCGGGAATGGGTGTGTTTGTGTACGTCCGTATGTGTGTTCTCCTTTCAGCCTTCACTATCATCTTCATTTCATCTTCCATACCCCCAGAAGTATCAACCTTACAGTCTTACTGATCCTCGGTAAAAGCAGGGTAAATAGACACATGGTCCAAGTCGGCCTATTCGCGAGCAAAAAAACACACTATTCATTCATTTAGAAAAAACATCACAGAATAAGTAATGAAAAATTACTTGCTCAATTCAGTCAGTCGGAATGATAGGTGCGACAAAAATATCAAATAAATTGGTTCAAATTTTTACAAATTATTATTATTATTATTATTATTATTATTATTATTATTATTATTATTATTATTTATTGTAAAACTTCGCTGCCCATAAAAGTGCTGACCCAAGCGGACCACCACCTCTACGCTACGCCACTGATTCGTTCTTAAATTCATTGTCTGAAAAAGCCAAAAAAAATTGAATGTGATACAAATTCTTATTTCTTGTGTAATTTGGTTTTATCCTTATAATATTTTAATTATTTGATCTATCTGACATGTTTGTACAATTAACTGCCTTTTGAATCCAATTTATATTGATATTGTAATTTTTATTTAAACTTTATATTAATCTAATATTATAATAATACAGTCCATTGCCCCTTCCTACGTGACAAATTCCCTGCATAGATGATATTCAATTTACGTGTTTTGGCTGATGAAATACTGACCACTTGCGGAACCACTGTCAACGTTGAAAGGAACCCTCCTTAGCACCGTTAATATTATAAAATGCACTCTCGACGTGTCGTACTCGGCTGCTGGGGCCCTTCTGGTCAAGAGGAATTAAATTTTGAAAAATCATTTCGGAGTGGGTGTAGGTAGTACCTGGTGCTGCGGCTGGTGCTGCTGCGACTGGTGCTGCTGGTGCTGGTGCTGGAGCGGCGGGTGGTGCTGCGGCGGCGAGGGGGGCGTGTCCTGCGCGTCGCCGAAGGACGAGTGCGGCGGCAGCTCCATGATCCTGGCCATGTCGCTCAGCAGCACTTGCAGTTCCATGCCCTCTCCGGCCCGGGCCTGCCTCGCGACACGCTCCCTTCGAACACTCTTTAAGTGTAAACGACGTTTGGGAAGAGACACTTTACTCCTTCTCAGTCATGTTTTTCGCTATGAATACCTACACATTTATCGCATTAGAGAACTCTGAACTGTCCGGCTATTTTTTTTATTTTTATAATTAATAATAAAGCGCGTCAAGAGCGATCAGTTGGCAGAGATATCTAAGGCAGTAGTGCCTTAGCGGTCTCGCACCAGAAGATCGGGGTTCGAGGCCCGGCTCGGGAATGAGTGTGATTGTGTTTATCTGTGTATGTGTGTGTGTGTTGTCCTTTCACCTCTACTATCAACATCGTTTTATCTTCCATACCATCAGCACTAACAACCCTGGGGGATAATAATTGGATCTATAGCGCTGATCCTAGTGATACGATTCCCGTTCGCAGTTGTCAGCCATCGTTGCCACCCTGTAGTTAATTAGCATGATGTAATAGTTCTAAATGGAGTTTTGACTGATTAAAGAATTGCCACCGCAACGATGGTTGACAATTGCGAAACGAGAAACGGGTTGCCACGTAATTCTTGAACTTAAACTATGAAAAGCTGGCGAAATGTGAAATGTAATCGTCAGGGAGGTTCGTTTGTCGTAGAGGCTATTCATAGAATGGTCTGTCTCGGTGGTTAGAGCAAGTGGCCGCACATCGGAAGATCCGCATTCCGTTCGACCGAGTTGATACAAGACTCTCGTTTCTAATACTCGCGAGAGGTTTTTCCTAGAATATAAAAATGTGTCTATCGGCTACACAATCAATATTTTCCTAACATAAAAATAACTTAGTAACACAATGCAGAGGCGCACCCAGGATTTTTCTCTTTGTGGGTCATTGGTATGAGAAAACAAGGTTTCGGCAAAATCGTCTGTATGTCCGTTCGTTCCTTCGTGCGTCCGACCGCCTGTCGGTCTGTGAACAACGCTAGCGATTAAACCAAACTCATATTTTCACCAAAATTAATATTTCCTGACCGATCTGGTTTATGATTCGGGCCCTTATATTAGAATCGGGTATTTTAATTTTTGCGAGTACGGTATTTACATGAAGCTTCAAGGTTCAAACCACAAAATTCTTTAAACCTAGTCGTAAGCTCGGAAGTATTCTGTGAAATAGAGCAAAACGCGAATTTGCAGAAAGGCTCGAACAATCTCTCAAGAACGACTGCAGTTTTTTAAATATTATTATTAAAGAACCAAAAAACTGAGATAATGTGAAAAAAATTACTTTTAGGGACCGATTAGGTAACATCAGAGAAAAGGGAATACCAGATAAATTAATATCTAAAAGATACTATAGATTGAAGAGGTTAGAAAACCAACTAGTGCGAAAAAGTATGTGCCATTACTTTGCCCCACCAATCATTTGAATTTGTGTCATTGGGTACTGGGGGTCTGAAACATAATGGGAGCCCCCTCACCCCTGGGTGCGCCACTGTCACACTGTTACAGGCTACCTGTACACGAGTTCTGTGAACAACTATAGAATGTATATCAGATGGAATACACGTATTGTCGCGCAGATAAGGCGAAACCTTTCAAAAATACTGACGTAGTATGATGATAAATAACCATGTGTTCTATCAGCTAAAATAAGATAAAAGCATGAATACTCATATAGACGATTTTCTCACCTTGTATATGTCCTTTTTCTGAACTTGTCGCAAAGACAATTGATGTCCAACTCTTGAGATTTTATGATGATCTTGTGTGTTAAGCTGCTATCGCCGGCAATAGGATGGGTTGAGGGATAGCGGTATTTCCAGCGAGAGAGGCAACGCGTCAATGACTGGAGATGAACGACTTTTCCTGTGTGCGTACTTGCGTATGCAAATAATTCTTATCTTAAAAACGGAGCTCTCTTGCCGCAATAACACCGTCTTTGCCTTTCTAGTTGCGAATATTCTATTGAAAATCAAGTGATTACAGGCAATATTTCCGCCGTCTCGTCTTAGTATGCTCCTTCGTGGCGTCGAGGTCTTCTGATGATGACGAAGCCTACCGCAGGTGCCGGGTCGCGCCGGGAACAAATTCTACGGGGCGAAAGGGGGGAGTGGGTGGAGATTACGTTAGAGAAGTTAAGAATCGAGGGGGGGGGGATTCTCCAACTTGGCAATTGGCAGAAGAGGTCGACTTCGCAAGTGCTCGTAAAGGCAACGATGTATTTGGTAGATTCGTCCTAGTGAGTGGAACTTGTAGAGCAAGAAAGAGGAGGATAATTAGTTCATTAAACTCAACAAGCAGCTTTGCTGGGACACTTGGTCTAAAAGAGTCTTCACAACAAGAAAAAAAGCGGTTGTATTGCGGATCGCTATCTGGACGCTACGAGCAAACATTTCTTGCGTTTCTTGCCGGGAGGGGCCCAAAGGAACAGCGACCGAGGTGGCTGGACGCGCTCCGAACTGCCAGGCGAGAGCCGGCGAGCCCGGGCGGGCGGACGGACGCGAAGAAGAGGGAAAGAGAGAGAGGGATGGGCGGGAGTGCGAGGAAAAGGACAACTGTCTTCTCAACCGGAAGCGAGAAAAAGTGCTGGGTGCGAGGAGCGAGTGGGGGTGGTTGAGGAACCCTATGCAAGACAGTTCTCCCGGGAGGGGAAGGAGGGGGAGGGGGGGCGTTCACCAGTATCTACTTCTCTGCAGCACCGTCACCTCCTTCGCACTGAGTTCGAGCAGGCGCGCCTCCTTGCGCACCAGGGTGCAGTGCAGGCTGCGCTCGGTGGCTCCCACGACGAAGGGCGAGCGCATCAGCGCCGCGCGGCAGCGCGGGCAGCAGCACGAGCGGCTCTTGCAGCGCGGGGGCGGCGGCGGCGGAGGCGGCGGCGGCGTGGGCGGGGCGGCGGCGGCGGCGGCGGCGACGGCGGAGGAGCGGGCGGCGCAGCAATCACAGCGCATCACTCGGGTACGTCAGGACACCCGCATCGGAGCCCGGGACTCGCTCCGGCCTCTAGACACGTGGGCGGCGCGGCGGCGGCAGGCGCTGCAAGCAAGGCCCCCACATTTGCTGTTTCCCGCCAGCGGGCGCCTGCCATTATTTGCAACTGTTTAATTGCTAATTAATTTCGCAGACAATTTAATTGCTCTTCAAACTTCCGAGTAATTACTGGTGAACTAGCACATCAGACAAGCTAACGCACCATTAACTTCTCGGAAATTTGAAGAGCAAGTAAATCAATTTTGCGCAGTTAATTAGCAATTAAATAAGTCTACATTGTGGCATTTTGGTTCTTGGCATAACCGATTCTGGTGGTGCAAGTTTAATCTTCAACCAGCTTACAATTAATTACAATCACATACAATTAAATGTGAAGTTCAATTAAATTAAGGTTCGAAATTAATTGGCCATTAAATTGTTCTTCATGTTGGCATATTTGTTTTTGTGGAAATCGATTGGAGTATGTGCTTGTTAAATCGTAAGTCAGCTCTCCATTAATTACCCAAAAGTATCAAGAGCAATTAAATTAATTTTTTGCATAATATATTATCAATTAAATAGCTCTAAATGGAGTGTTTGTTTTTGTGGTAACTAGTTATGGTAGTACCAGGTTAAGGGAAGGGAAACAAACATTCAGAGTTACGGAGGTGGTCAATAGGTTTCCGGCTTGACCAAGATAACTCTCAACAATGGTGAAACCTTCCGAGCAGTAGACGATTTATCTTTTACTGTTGTTATTGTATAAGTTGGCAAAAGTTAACATAATCAGTGTGAGAGGAGAGGTGCTGGAGTGGGATGCGATGCGTCAAATATCTTTGCGTTTGGCGTCTTAAAAAAATTACACGTTCCCACAACTCAGATTGCGAAGAGTACTCTAAGAACTACGGCTCTACGAGTGGGACCATCCGCTCCACCGTCTAGATTTGACACCCACTCACTACTCTCCTCTCTGAACACGGCTTCGGAGGGAAACGTTTCTAAAGACAATGAGGCGAAAGAAGCAAATCTTTAACCTTTCCGTGAACAAAACATCAGCTATTTTTTGGAATGCATAGAAATGTTAATATACCAATTGGGAATGTGATTTAAAGCCAAGAATAATTATTTTTAATACAGAATAATTTTCTTCTTTGTAACATAACTAGAAGTTAGTGAGGCCAGAAACTTACAGAACCCACCTCATAAGTACATATTATTCTACACCTTTTTATGAATTTTCTCAAAACGCTCCTTGAAAATAAGGGCGAAGTCAGCGCAGATACATGGAAAGTACCGAATCTTTAAGGCCTTGAAATGATTTGTGCATTTTTAAACAGAACAATATCATTCATTGTAGTTTTCGGATTATTTCTAGAAACATATAATTAAAAGAGACTCGTCCGTCAGTCAAGTTTCAAGTAGCACTAATAGCTCAAAACATACATTGTTCCTAAATCAAAATGGCGAGTAAAGCAAATGTAAATAACATTCTTAATTGGAATGCTAACGACATTGAACGGCAAAAATTATCTTTAAAGAATTCTTAAAAATCAAATTGACATAGTATGCGTAACGGAAGCTCATTTCATCTTTCAAACACTCAACTGATTTACACCATACCATCAAGTATATCGGAAAAGTACACTGGAATAAATTCAAAGATCAAATGGACATTACACTTATTTACCAACAAAAATGAAAACAACAATACACCTGGATAAACAAGTCTTCATCTTAATTACAACAATTCAAAATTCAATAAGACCAGCAAATATACCATTTGAAGTTATAATTTCAAAAAATAATGACAGTATTCCTAATAGAATTGTTAACTTAATTCAAAGTAAACCCAAAGTAACGCCAGTGACAAAAGATACACACCAGTTCGAAAGTAAATAAAATACCAAAAATTATTAAATAGAAATTACAGATAAATAAGTTCCAAGAATTTCAAAAGAAATTTAATATATCTAAACAGCAGATCCTTATGGACCGCAATAAAAAACTATGTAAGAAAGAACCACATACCCACTTTGAAAAACTACTGGCTAAAACAACTCACAGACACAGTCAAAGCTGAAACTCTAAAAGCGCCTTTTAGAAACCCTTTTTACCGAATCTAACTACAAGTTCCCGCTCATTCAACAAAATAATAAATCAACTAATTATTTACGCAGTACTTTTAGCTCCTGCATTCGTTTCCACAGCAGAAGTTCCAAAAAGTATTAATGAAACTAAAATCAAGAAAGCAGGAGGTTATGATATCATCACCACCAATGTTCGAAAAGAACTGAATCAAAGATTAATAGCAACCCTCACTGATATATTTAATTCATCTCTAATATTACAATATTTTCCGCGAAGAAGGAAAACTATCATCATACCAGGACTTCAACAAACCGGAAAGAGACCCACGAACCCGCAAACTTATTAGACCAATTAATCTCCTCCAATCTAGATATTCGAAAAACTAATCTTTACCAGATTAATTACATACTTAAAGAACAACAAAGCAATATCGGACTTCCTTTTCGCCTTCATATCCAAATACTCTACAACACTCCATCTGCTTTGATTCACTGAATAATTCGCTATTGTATTCAACAACATACATTATATATTTCTAGACATTGAAAAAGCCTTCGACATAGTCTGCCATTCCATCTTACTTTTGAAATTTCAATAACCACGAACTCCACAATACTTATACAACATTATACACATCTTCTTATCTAACAGGAACTTAAATCTATCTAAGAGGAAATTAAAATAAACCAACTCACTCTCCAAACAACATACAATAGATGCAGGATTTTCGCAAGGTTATTGCCTCCTTCCCTTCTTTTTAACATTTTTTATCTGATATTTCTCTGCCAACCACCTTCCACATAGTGTTTTCCGACATAGTGCCCTCCCGCATAGAGCTTTACGCAGATGACACAGCACTCTTCACTTCACACAACGGTACGCCCAGGATAACCTACAAAATGATCGAACAACCTTCGCTCAAAAGACAGAAAAATGGAGAATCAAGATTAATGCTGCAAAATTTTGACCCTTCCCAAACCCAAACCATGACCCCACTACTCACTCAATATAATGGGTCATTCAATGGCCACCAAATCACTCACCAATCAAATATCTAGGACTCACATTAGACAGGAAATTAACACAGAAAGAACACATCACCGGCACTACTAACAAATCATGAATAAAATATTGAAACTCTATCCCATATTAAATCACCATTTACAGATCAGACCATCGCTCAGAGGCGACTGGTTCTCGAAGAAGCTCGGACTTGCAGCTCCTTAAATGCCTTAAATGTAATTTCCAAGCTTGAGAACAATAACATGTGACGTTAACGTAAAACGTTAACAATTCATGAAAATGAATTAAAACCAAGTTTCATAAAAGTCTATAATCAAACATTACTTACATAATTTTATGCTTAGTGGCCGTGCCAGATATATTCACCTCTCGTGCACGTTGTTTTGGCTTTGATTTCCAGTGAGCACTCGAGTTTTTGTATTAGTTCTGCTTTTTGGCAATTGCCGATAATATAATTCATACGAAACAAAAATGGACTAGGTTTCGAAACTACGGTGATCGCATTCCAGCACTTAGCTTCAGGCTTCATTGCTGATTAGACATTTTACACCAGTTCATTTCCTGATCTTAATTGATGATCTGGCTACTACTAGTGGTTATGATAAAAAAATAAAATTATTTTATTTCGAAAATTTTACTACCCTGCTATATAAGTTGCTATATAGTTGCGCAGAAAGAATAGCCTGATTTGGGTCATGTAGTACAGACGCACTGTTCGCGCATGCGCGACATAAGTATGTGTAATAAAGTGGGAAGGATGGCCATTTGCAATTACGGCAAAAAAGTGCTCCAGATCACCGCTTTTGGGGTGTGGAAACTTAATCTAAAAACGAGTCTCCCATTACTGTGCAAAGAATCTTTGGTAGCCATTTCAGTCTGAGACGTCACGACAAAGTTCCTGATCACTTCAATTGGTTCACCCACCGTAGGGGATGTGACCCAATTTCCTATTAATGCAGTAGCCTTTGTTGAAACCTCCAAGACGTCCTAGGTTACAACTGCGTGGATAAAGGCAGTCGCCCAAGCACCAATCGCAAGCCTTCGGCTGTCGCTGCCAGAGATTCCTTAGAGGTGAGGATGTAGCCTCGTCCCTTGCAGCATGTCATCCATGATGATCTACACTTCAACCCCTAAAAGAAGCACTTTGTGCAGTTAAAAAAATGAAAAAGTTGCCCGAAGGACGTTTGGTATAGATGTCCTTGGTCGTTTAGCAGCCGAATTGTGGGTCTTCAACAACTGTCCAACTCGGTCGGCAGACTACCCCTGATTTCTTCTGATTAGATATCTCAAGAGTCAAGCCTACACTACACGCACTAACATATTGGCAGATATTAAGGGCTGAATACGAGAAGCTTTGCCCTGTCAAATCCTCTCGGACATGGGGCATCGTGCAATGAAGGTTTTCGGTCGTCGCTAGGCGGAATGTGTATAATGCAATAGTGGTCAGTTTCCGGGAGTAATATTCAAGAAACATTGACTATTGACTAAAATGACATACCTTTACCTCTGTTATCAAGGTATTTTCAAATATATGATTGTACTCCTTACAATATGCAGGTCTGTTTAAATCCGACTATTCTTCCTGCGCAATTTTAAATAAAACAATCACACCTTAATAATGAAAAATCGCTGAAATGAGGTCACAGAAACATTGATTCTTCAAATGTACAGAAATATTGTTCTGAAAGCGGATGAGTCATCGGTATTCCCTTTGAAGCATCTGTAATCATTCAGGACTGTAATCTCTCTTAAATCGGTTGAGATTTCTTGAGGAAGATGATTTGTGTGCAGTAACATCTACACAACAACTATCTCCCGAGATCTGCCACACACTCAT